TTTGAATCATCTTTCATTTTTAGTGATTTAAAATCTTGTTTGTGGAGTCTCCTGCACTCTTCACAATGATTTATATAACTTTATAACTATTTTCCAATTGTTTGATTTATATATGCCTTGTCTTAGTCTGTATTCCTTGGGACTCAGGATCAGTGTTTTCAATTTATGTGTGTTTTACAAGACTCCAGTTCAGTGCTAACTTTTTGAAAATATCATACCAATACGGTTCAAAATGCCAAAATACAGCTAGTCCCTTTTTTAGAGGATACAACCTCTATTTTTAAACTAGTACCTGTTGTTATGGTGTTCCATTAATTATATCAAAATTTTTCCCTTTACTTTTCTTAAAGGTTGTACCAGCCTAAAACTTTTCCTCAAAGAGTCATCCCACTTTTTATGGTCAATAGGTCTTAAATAACTCAATCCAACCACAGAGGGCCTTAGTGACCTCATTTGCAAACAAACACAAACAAAAAAACCCTACTTCTATACAAGTGTTCATGGATTTCAAATTTTTTTGTACCAAAATAAACCTATCTTTTAGTTCCATTTTCAAAAAATGTTTTGAAATACGCTGATAAAATGTATTTGTACAATAGGCCGGCGCCGCGGCTCACTAGGCTAATCCTCTGCCTTGCGGCGCCGGCACACCGGGTTCTAGTCCCGGTCGGGGCACCGGATTCTGTCCTGGTTGCCCCGCTTCCAGGCCAGCTCTCTGCTGTGGCCCGGGAGTGCAGTGGAGGATGGCCCAAGTGCTTGGGCCCTGCACCCCATGGGAGACCAGGAGAAGTACCTGGCTCCCGCCATCGGATCAGCGCGGTGCGCCGGCCGCAGCGTGCTAGCCACAGCGGCCATTGGAGGGTGAACCAATGGCAAAGGAAGACCTTTCTCTCTGTCTCTCTCTCTCACTGTCCACTCTGTCAAAAAAATAAATAAAAAAAAATTTAAAAAAATGTATTTGTACAATAAATAATATATACTCTATTCTAACTGTCTGTCAGTCTTAGTAAATTCTCCTGAACTACTCTTATCTGATGATGTACTAGTTAGTACTCATTATTAGAACTAGTCTGGGGCCAGCATTGTGGCTGAGTGAGTAAAGGTGCCACCTTCTCCACTTCCAATACAGTTCCTTGCTAATGACCTGGTAAAAGCAGCAGAAGATGGCCCAAGTGTTTGGGCCCCTGTCACTCACATGGGAGACCTGGGTGAAACTCCTGGCTCCTGTCTGGCCTGGTCTGATTTATATGGAGCCAGCTGGGGAGTAAACCAGTGGATAGAAGATGTCTCTGTCTCTCCAACTCTGCTATTCCAATTAAAAAACAAACCAAAAAATCCCTCCACAAAACGGGATATAAAAAGCATCAATATGAAAGCCTTTTATATAGTTGTTTCTGTGTAGATGCTTTAACAGTGAATACACAACTATATAACAGACTCTACTTTCAAGGAAATAACCTTCTAATAGAAAAGGTAAGGAAGTTCTAAATACAGGAAAAACTAAACAATCTAAACAAGAAATGTCATTCAGTCACAAGACTGGCGGCCATTCAAGGAATAAAAATGCCATGAATGTAGGGGAAGAAGTCACAGTGGACAGAAGTTGTGAGGAGTTTTATGGAGAAAAGCAGCTAAAACTAGCAGGAGAGTTTAGATCTGGATAAGCAGAGAGAGGACTAGAAGGGCAGGTATTAGGCAGGATGATAGAAGCCAAAGGATGGAGGTAGAAACAGTGCAAGGGTAAGCTGGAGGAGAGTGTCCAACAGGCCTCCAAGTAGAATTACGTTAGATCATGGTAGACTCTGCATATTAAATCAGGCTAAGGAAATGGAATCTTTTTTTTTTTTTTTTTTTTTTGACAGGCAGAGCGGATAGTGAGAGAGACAGAGAGAAAGGTCTTCCTTTTGCCGTTGCTTCACCCTCCAATGGCCGCCACGGCTGGCGCGCTGCGGCCTGCGCACCGCGCTGATCTGCTGATCCGAAGGCAGGAGCCAGGTGCTTCTCCTGGTCTCCCATGGGGTGCAGGGCCCAAGCACTTGGACCATCCTCCACTGCACTCCCGGGCCACAGCAGAGAGCTGGCCTGGAAGAGGGGCAACCGGGACAGAATCTGGCACCCCGACCGGGACTAGAACCCGGTGTGCCAGCGCCGCTAGGTGGAGGATTTGCCTAGTGAGCCGTGGCGCCAGCCTGGAATCTTTTTTGAGTCAATGGTTTTCAACCTTTTTTCGCTATATTCATGATAGATGTTTTACTATTTGTGACTTACTTTATTGACTAATTCTGGAGTTTTTTTGGTGCCATCAATATTTTATGAAGAAACCTCACAACACTTTGACTCACCATGACTATCAATGGAGCAACTATAAAGATTGCTCATTATGCACCCTGGCATGACATTATATGCAATTTCTAGAATATCAGATATAACTCTTCTACCCCTTTTTCTTCCATGTACACTCTAATTTACATATATATTTTTTAATTCATTTATTTATTTTAAAGTCAGAGTTACAGAGATTTTTTCCATCTGCTGGTTTATTTCCCAGATGGCTGTAATGGCCCAGACTGGGTCAAGCCAAAGCCAGGAATCCAAAACTTCATCTGGGTCTCCCACACAGGAGCCAGAGGCCCAGACATTTGGGCCATCTTCTGCTACTTTTCCCAGGACATGAGTAGGGAGCTAGACTGAAAGTGGAGCAACTGGGACGCAAACCGGCAACTATGTGGGATGCTGGTGTAACAGGCAACAGTGGCTTAACTTGCTTCGCCACACCAACTGGCCCCTCTAATTTATATTTTTGATAAGCAAACCTAAGTGTGTTACCTATGAAGCAATCAATATGCTGCTCTTAAAAAGCAGTACTTAAGTGCAGCTCAATTCCAAGTAGCTCAGATAATGAAAGCAACCCAGATGTTCATCAACTGATAACTGGACAGAGAAATTACGGTATACATATACACTATGGAATACTATTCAGCAATAAAAAAAATGAAATCCTATCTTCTGCAGCAAAATGGATGCAACTGGAAACTATTATACTTAGTGCATTAAGCCAGTCCCAAAAAGACAGATACCATATGTTTTCCCTGTTCTGTGGTAACTCACAGAGTGCCTAAAATGTTATGTATTGGGGCCGGTACCGCGGCTCACTAGGCTAATCCTCCGCCTGCAGCGCCGGCACACCACATTCTAGTCCCGGTTGGGGCGCCAGATTCTGTCCTGGTTGCCCCTCTTCCAGTCTAGCTCTCTGCTGTGGCCAGGGAGTGCAGTGGAGGATGGCCCACGTGCTTGGGCCCTGCACCCACATAGGAGATCAGGAGAAGCACCTGGCTCCTGGTTTTGGATCAGTGTGGTGCGCCAGCCACGGCGGCCATTGGGGGTGAACCAACGGAAAAGGAAGACCTTTCTCTCTCTGTCTCTCTCTCTCTCTCACTGTCCATGCTGCCTGTCAAAAAATAAAATAAAATAAAATAAAATAAAATAAAATAAAATAAAATAAAATGTTATGTATTGGAGTGAAATTGTCATTTTGAGATTTGATGATTGTTTATAGCCCTTGTCTCTACTGTTGAAGAAAAGTGTCTTTTTTTTTCTTTACACTATTTATTGAAGTCTTTACTTAGTGTAGGGTGAATCTTCTCTCTATCATCCCAATTTTAGTATATGTGCTGCCGAAGCGAGCACGGGTGAATCTTATGAGTATAAAGTAAACTGAAAATAGATCTTTGTAAAAATTAAGAGTGGGAATAGGAGAGGGAGGAAGAGTGGGAGTGTAGGTGGGAGGGAGGGTGGGCTGGGAAGTATCACTATGTTCCTAAATCTGTATATATGAAATACATGAAATTTGTATACCTTAAATAAAATTAAAAAAGAAAAAAGCAGTACTTAGGTAGAAGAATAGGAAGGGGAGCTGGGGAGTAAGATGTTGATGGAATTATTTTAGGATGATTCATTTGGGTAGATGGATTGATAGAAGAGAATGAAGTCAGAGAAGCCAATCAAGAGGATCGTTTAGCCATCTGGGTATGACAGGGCAGTGACAAGAAGTCAGGTGCCAAAGACCATAGAAACGAAGTCCCAATGCAAGACATATCAACATGGAAAAATTGCATGGACTTAGCCAGTGGACTATTTATCTAGTGCTATGACATAGAAAGTGTCAAAGGGATTCCTAAAACTTCAGGATGTAAACTGAGCAGATGGGACAACAGTAGGAATCAAAGATATTGAGAAAGTATGGCAGGGAACAGGTTTAGTTGTAAATGGAAGAAAAAATAAGTTTTGATTTCAATAATGTTGAGTGTAAAAACACAAGAGATTATTTAAGGAGGAGGGGTCCAGCTGCAGTTTCAGGGCTGGATTTGAAAGAGCAGGTCAAGACATAGGTCTGAACATGAAAGAACAGGGATGTCAGCTGGAAATCTTCAAAGAAGAGGTATATAGGGAGGATAGAAAATAGTAAAGGCTTTGGAGTGAAATCTTGAAATTTTTGAAATTTAAGTCTGACATTCATCAATAGTTATTGATTGTAACAGCATTTGTAATAGCAAAAGACTGGAAGCAACTAATTGTCCACCAATAAGAGACAGGTTAGTAAACTGCGGTACAGTCATTTTGTATGTAGAATGCTACAGAGAGTTTTAAGTATTTATTTATGTGAAAAGTTTTCCGAAGTTCACCATGAAAAATAGATGCACCTAAACTAAGCTTCCTTTTAGGAAAAAAAAAAGTGGATGAAAAAATTTATGTTTTTCCTTAAATAGTCTGGAAGAATATATCTGTAACCAAAAATAGTGGCTGCTCAGGGGAGAGGGGAATGTAGGCAAGTGAAGGACAGGAGTAGGAAGACTTTTTGCCTGATGTTTAAATATACACATTTTCTTACTTTTAAGCGATGAGAATGTTGTTATTCAAAATAATACATTTAAAATATCCTAACAAGAATTTTAGATCTTTACATAAAAAGTAGTATCACTGAATAGAGTAAAATAATGAACCTGCATCACTGTCACTGCTCCATAAGTCACAGCTGTCCAATAGATAGAGCCAACCATTATTCCCGCTGCAGCAAATGGACAAGCTTTTGAGATCAGTCTATCTGCAAGATCCAAGACGTAAACAACTGGACCTATAATACAAAGAAAACAAAGTTCAATAGAAGGTAGATTTTTGGTATGACTTATTCAATATTTTCTAAAGATCTAAAATGAAGTTGGATATTCCAATGGTTTGGAAATGGTTATAAATTTGATGGCAACCCAGATTTGAAAAGTTTAGAATTTCTCAGTCATTTACATGAATAACTAAGTATTACTTCCTAAATTCTAGGAAATAGCTTCTTTAAATTTTTATCTGTATCATTGAACATAAAATTAGAGCCTCAAATATAGCTGCTTATTCCTTAATCACATTGGCTAGGGCAGAACCAAAGGGCCACTTCACCTTGCTCTTTCCACTTAGTCCTAGCAATGATTAGTTTCTTTTGTACTTGGTAATATGACTTCTCTGACTTCACTCATTGTGTACCTTGGTACAGTATGTAAAGGTAACCAAGGCTATTTTCTTATACACAGAGTCAGTTTGTCTTATTTTTATCTCAGTGTGCTATATTTAGTTGGATATTATTCCTTAACAGTCTTCATTTTATGATTATGACACCAGTTTTTATGGCATTCCAAAACCTGTATGTGCCAATTATGCTTGTTATTATATACTCACTGTGAAATTTTCCTACTACTTCCTTCTGAAAGTTTCCTGGAACAGCTAAATTTGGAGGAATTGTACTAACTGCCATTAAGCTCCATATAATTTAGCTCCAGAATTTTCCAGATCCTTGCCAAGATAAGGAATGGGCATTTGGCCCAGTAGTAAAGATGCCAGATAGGAGGCCTGTGTCCCACATTGGAATGCTTGACTCCTGGTTTTTGTTCTTGGTTCTAGCTTCCTGCTAATGCAGACCCTAGAAGGCAATGATGAAAGCTCATGTGGTTGGATTCTTGCCACTCAAGTGGGAGACCTGGATTGAGTTCCAGGCTCCCAGCTTCAACCCATCCCAGTTTGTAGCCATCTGGGTAGTGAACTAGCAATGGGGCAATGGAAGTGCTGTTTCTCTCTCTCAAAAAAATTTTTTTCCTGAAGTCAAAGAACTGTAAAACCAAAGGTATATGAAACATTTTATTAATCATATTTGTTGAATACTCTACATACGATTGCTTGAGACATTTTCTTAGAAGTGTTTAATTATTACCTACCTTCTAAATGAATTAATATCACTCTAAAGGAGGATACTATATACAAAATAGTTTATTTTTATGGTACAAAGAAAAGAAGATGGCAATCTGATGATAAAATAATTAAACATATATGTAAGAACAAGCATCCTTCTGTGGAGCCCCCATCAAGACTCCCTGATAACTGCTAGAGGCAGAAATATCACTTGTCACTGTGTAAAGAGAAGACTACCTTGTGAAGCAGAGAGAACATTAAGATCTGTGATTTAAATGGAGCATGTTATTATTGTAAGCTCTAACTTACATAACAATTAAAACTGTGATAAAGTATCTTCTGGGATCAAAGATTAAATAAGCCCAAATTTAGTGCATATTGACTCTACATCATCTAATAAGAGCTAACATTTTTTGAGTGTCTATATGGTATCAGGTGATATGCTGCAGGCATTATATACAACATTTCATCTTATCAGGGTGTAATTCTCAAAATACACTATTTTGCTGAGTTCAATTCATAACTCTTCCAAAACGCCAAGTAAAAGTTATCTTAATCAATCACCAAAGAGCCCTCAAATGCTGGAACTAGAGGTTAAGGGACTATTGGTATGAATATGCAAAGCCTGGAACTTCAACTTTCATATTCTCTATTAATAATCATTTACTGAGAAAATTGAAAACATAAGAAAATATCGACAGGTTCTTTTCAGCACATGTATCCAACTACCAATATTGCAACCATTGAAGTCAATCCCTGTACCTGTACAAAATAGCCTGTCTCCTCACCAACGCATAGCCTCAGCTTTAGCAGTTCCTTCCTGTGCTACCACATCTTCTGCTTACTGTTAGTGGAATTATTTTAACCAAACATAATACTGTTTCTTCTATCTTAAAAGAAAAAAAAAATCCTTCTGCCTCATTATTCCATTTCTCTGCTCCCCTTTCAACAAAATTCCTCAGAATTGTCTGTATCTCTCTTCATTAATTCTTCCTGGAATCTACTCCATCCAAACTGCTCCTTAAAGTTACTAACAGTCTCCACTTGGGCCAATTCCAACAGTCTAATCTCAATTTTCATCTTATTTGGCCCATCAGCAACCTCTTGACACAGATAATCCCTTTTTCTCCCCAATAAATGATACATAAGTGCATTTCCACAACATCAGTATTTCTTGGTGTTCTTTCTAGTTTACTAATTTTTCACTCTCTTTTACTGGCTCTTCCTCTTTTATTTTGTTAATTCAAGAGGCAAAGAGACAGTAAGAATAAGAGATGTGAGAAGAGGCAGAGAGCGAGAGAACTCCCTCATCTGCTTGTTTACTACTGAAATGCCCACAATGGCATGGACAAAACTATGAGCTCCATCCAGGCCTCCTATGTGAATGGCAAGGACTCTCCTACTTGAGCCATCATGGCTGCCTCTCTGGGTCTGCAATGGCTGGAAGCCAGAATCAGAGCAGTCAGGGATCAAACTTAAGTATTCTGACATAGGATGCAGTGTCAACTACTGAGTCAACTGGCTGCCTTATTTTCTTCTGTCCTTCCCCCACTTTTAAACCACTTAATAGACGCTAATTTACTTACTCTTTTTTACACACTAAAACAGGTTGGAAAACTAAGGCCTGTGGGCCAAATCCAGCTAGCTGCTTGTTTTTATAAAGTTTTATTGGAAGATAATCACATACAAAGTCTAAAATATTTATCATCTGGTTCTTTATAGAAAAGGTTTCCTAACTCCTGCCTCAGAACATCAGCTCTAGGGGAAAAGATCTTTTTGTTCTGCTCATCGACTTATCCTAAGTTCCTGTGACTCTGAAGTATTTATTGAGTTGAATTCTCTGTTGAGGTATTTCTAGTACTTGGAAAGCAGTAATTCATAAGAAACAAATATTTTACAAAAAGTTAACTCCTAAAGAGTAACCCATCACTACCACTTTTATAAGAACAATGGCAATGCAGAGTTTTGAATTCATTTTCCTGGGAAGATCTCAAGAAACTTCTAACATTGTGAGTTCAGTTTTCTTCCTAAATCCTTGGGTATGAATTCTTTTGTAGAAGAAAAGATATCTTCATATTTGCTTCTGGAAATTTTCTTCTCTTTCCTTGGGTTATATGCAGAAGATATAACACATAAAATTGAGATACTGGCAGCATTTTTGGTACCTAGTTCCAGTTTTTCTGTCAAAATTCTGTCTTGGCTTTTATCTAATATTTACTCTGCTTAAACATTGAGGTATTTAGGTTATTTAAGCTCTTCCAGATAGACTAGTCTAAGGCTAGATTGACATTCAAAAGGAAGGATAAATGATTAGTATTATACTATTATAATAATGAACTGTCACATGGGGGAGGTATTTCTAGGGCTAAAGAATATGTAGTGGTTTTCGCATGACAGTTAGGCTGCCTGCATCCCACCTAGGTTGGACATTCCACCTAGGTTGGATACTCCTGACTCCAGCTTCCTGCCTATGCAGACCTTGGGAGGCAGATAACGAATGCTTCAGTGCCAGGTCCTGTTGGCATTTGAGGGGTGAACCGATGGATGACAGTTCTTTCACTGCCTCCCAAGTAAACAGAAAAAAGACTACCTAGACAAGCTATTGATGAGTAGGAACAATGGGTAAAATCACATTCTATTCTTGAAGATTTACTTTATCTGAAAGGCAAAGTGGACAGAGAGAGAGGAGGAGGAAGAAAGTGAGATCGAGATCTTCCATCTGCTGGTTCACTCCTTAGAAAACTGCAACAGCTGGGGCTGGGTCAGGTTGACACCAGGAGCCTGGAACTCTGTCTCCCATGTGGATGGCGGTACCCCAACAAATCAGGCCATCTTCCACTGCCTTCCTAGGCACACAAGTGGAGTGGGATAGGAAGAGGAGCAGCTGGGACTCAAACTGATGATCACAGGGAATGCTGGTGTCACAGGCAGCAAGCCCAACCTGCTGTGCCACAGCTCTGGCCCCCAATCATATTCTTCCAATGAGGAAGTTAATGTATTATTATCTCATGACTTAGGGTCATAATCTTAGGAGGAAAATGTCAATAGTCACTGGATTCTTCTTAATATATTTATTATAGCATAAAAAGTAGGGAAAGGTAAGACACTGGCCCTTGAAAAACCTCAATTCTAATAAAGAGGAAGAAGTATGAAAATATCCTACCTCACAAGTTAAATATATGAGAGCATTAAAAAGTTTAAATATTTTAAAGACATTATTGAATTTTTAATGCCTCAGTAGGCCTCACCATTTGTGTTTTCAACAGTATTGTATTTACACAATGGATGCCAACTGAAGAAGCTTTGTATATTATGCTTTAAAAATCCAATAATTTAAAGGGCACTAGGGAAGTCTACAATTAAAAGGAAGTCTACTGTGAATTTTCTGTACAATAAAGAGGCTTTTTGTAAGGAGAAAAAGTATACCCTAATACTATGTGTAAATTCAAGATTTCACATTTCAAATTTGAATGGCATCAAAAAGTAAGCTGAAAATCATTTGAGAAACTCCTAAGTCTACATCTACCACATAAGAAATAATGTTTTGTTTGGAAGACACTGCAAAAGTAGATTTGCTGTTGCTGTGAGTCAAACTCAAGTCTATGAATTCATGGTTACCAAAGGCATACCTTAGAATTTAAGCCTTTAGTTACTGAAGGGCAAGTGGGTAATATGTAGTGTCCAACATCTGCTGGCAGTGCTTACAGTAATCTCCAGAAATACCAGGACCCATCTCAGATAAAAAGATAGCCTAAAAACACCTATCAATTTGCCAGAAATATAATTTCTATACTTTGTCAACATGCTGAAGTCTCTAACAGAGAATATGATTTAATGTACAAAGGTTCTTCACAAAACAAGCTCATATTAAATTCCTGAGAATGTAACAGCTGTTCGAATCAT